AGGGTCCTTCAGTACTTGTTGTAAGCGCCTCTGAGAAAAAGGCGCCCTCGATTTTCGCTTGCTGCCAAACAGTCTAGGCTCTCCCCCAATGAGCCCGGTATTGGGGTTCAGTTCAGTTGGAAGTGGAGTTGGAGGAGGCGTTCAGAGCAGACTGGAGCCCCTGTCTCCTTCCCGCCAGGCAATCCTGCGGCACAGCCGGCCGTCCCTTCTCTGCGCGGCGCCGCCAGGACCTCCTTTCGCCTCTTCCCCGGGTTCCGCCTTTCAGCCCTGCTCCCTCTGTGTGAGCCTGGGTCCCCGGGGTCTGGCCTAGGCCTGGGGTTCAGAGCAGTCGGGGGGCCCGGCACAGTCGGAGTTTTATCTCCTTCCCGCTAGGGAACGCCAGCCAGGCACTCAGCCGCCCTCCTCTCCGGCTCCGTCCTCTCCGCGCGCCGCGTGTGTCCGTACCTTAGGCTTTTCCAGCTCCTCCGCGCTTCCTTCTGGTTTTCTCCTTGCTTCTCGTTGTAGAATTTCCAGTCAGTCGACTTTCCTGTAGTTCTGGGTGATGTCCATTTTATATTTTAGTTGTATTTTATTGAAATTGTTGCAAGCGGCTGCGGCTAGGTGCCTACCCGAGCAGCCATCTTGGATTCTCCTCCCCCCCTCATTCTTAATTGCCACTCTTCCCCCAGGTAACTGCTACCAATTTGAGTATATCCTTCCAGAATTTTTCTCTTTAAATTTTTTCAATTTTACTTAAACATGTAGCCTGTACAGTCAAACTTGAATTAAAAAGCAAAAGCACCCGGCCAGCATGGCTCAGTGGTTGAGCATCAACCTAGGAACCAGGAGGTCACAGTTTGATTCCTGTCAAGGGCTCATGCCTAGGTTGCAGGCTCAATCCCCAGTGTGGGACGTGTAGGAGGCAGCTGACCAGTGATTATCTCTCGTCATTGATGTTTCTATCTCTCCCTTCCTCTCTGAAATTGATAGAAATATTTTTAAAAAGCACAGAGGCATAAGTAGGAAGCAGTCGGTCTCCGGGAACAGTGAGCCTTTTCTAAGGAGCCACTGCATGTGCACAGCATACACCCTTCGTCTGTTACACGCGGGCCGTGGTTGGACGTAGAGCCGTGTTTTGGTGACGCTGCCTGTCAGTGTTCCTAGATCTGTTTCTCTCTTAGTGGCTGCACAGGCTCCAAGTGACTGCTTTAGCTCGCACTCCATTGAGGGAGCAAGTTAATCCAAATGCATGAGGACTTAAATGTTGTTTCTAGTTTTTCCTGTTGTTCTAATGGTCACTCCTCAGTAGGGAATGTCTTTTTTCCTAGGTTTCTTTTAAGACCTCTTGTAGATTTTTGCATATTCCTACTTTATGATACTCTTAGGTAGTATCTGTTTATTTTGATTACGGCTCATTAAGTATGAGTATGCTTTGTCATTGATTCGGGAAACGTATTAGCCATTAACTATTTGAATATTGCTTCTTTGCTACACACACACACACACATACACACACACACACAATTTTTTCCTTCTGGAACTTCTTTTGAACACATGCTGAACTGTTCCCTTCTATTCTTCCTGTCTCTTAACCCCTCATTCACATTGTTCACCTGTTTAGTTTCTGTTCCGCATTCTAGGTAATTTTTCAGATGTATCCTCTAATTCATAAACTCTTCCAGCTGATTAATTTCAGGGACTATATTTTCATTTGTAGGCTACATTGGCATTTTTATAAAGCAGGAATCTCAGTATTCCCTTTGGATGGGCCTGTGTCCAGGTAAGATCCAAGCCCACTGGCTCCTGAGCTTGGCACCTGCCGCAGCCTCACCCACCACGCAGGCACACAGGGCCCTGGCACCGCAGCTCCAGCTCTCCAGGCTGGTTCTCAGCTCGAGCCCTGGGGAAGGCGCTGGTTTTGTGTGCTCAGTAGTGCATTTAAGAGGATATCCAGCAGTATTAAGGGATTTTCAATGAGTGGGTCAACAAGTTGCCTGAAACAGAAGCCCCATCTTTTGCTACTAAAAACAGCGCTGTGGCCAGTGGCTTGTATCCCTGTATGTGCGAGCATTTGTACACACGCGCTATATCCTGAGTTCGCAGAAGCTAACTGCTAGGTCAATAGTGTATTTTCTGTTTTGTTGGGTATTACCAAGTCACGGCCCCAGGAGGGATTTCTGCTCACATCAGCCACACACACAAGCACCTGCTCCCAGGTCTCACGGCACGGAGGGGCTGAGCGTCCTGCCAGGCTTTATCTTTGCCAGTGATAGGGGACAAGTGGTGTATTGCATTAGTTTTATTTCCTAATGTCTCTCGTCACCAGTGAACTAGAACATGTCACACATGTTTAAAAACCATTAGTATTTTTCTGTTCTTTCTTTTCTCTCCTGTTACTTTTGGGTTGTCAATCTTTACGATCAATTTGAAGGCATCAGCCAGCCCTCTCTGTTACCAACCTTTTCCCCATTTGGTCATTTTGCCTTATGATTTTTTTTTTCTCCCATGTGGGAAAAACTTAAATACTTTAAATATTTTTCTTTTTCACTTCCAGGTTTTTTATATTTAGAAAGGCCTTTGCTATTCTGACTATTTAGAGTTTAATTATGTTGACTCTTGAGCCTTCTATAATTTATTTTGGTATAATGTATTTGATAAAACTTTAAAATAGAACTCTAAAGTTATAGGGTATTTTGCCTTTAATTGCTATTATGAGTAGGATCTCTGATTACATTTTTAAAGCAAGTGGTTGTTAGTATAAAAGATACAGCTGTTAATTTTGACATTAATTTGCATTTGATTCTTATTACTGGATTGCCATCTCTAGTGATAAATTCCCACCTCATTTTCTTTAATTATATCCAATTTTTAAAAACAATATGAAATATCAATGGTAAAAGTATAGGTCACTATTTTTTAAAGACTTTTTATTAGGAATAAATGTTTGATTTCATCAGATTTCGTTTCAGCATCCCTGGGAGTGACCGTGTGTTTTTCTTGTTTGTTACAATAGTAGGTGGATTGTCTAACAGGAGTTGGGTGGATTCTGTTGGTTAATATTTCATTCGGGTCTTAGCCTTGATGCCGATCGATTGCTCCTTCCCGGTGCTCTCCTCCCGGTGCCGGGCTTCTTGGAAGAGAACGCTGGCTCCATGTGGGTTTGGAAGCTTTCCCCTCTCCTGCGGGCCGGCCACACCCCGGGCTGCTCCTCCCGGGCAGGCGGCTCTCCTGCAGGACAGCTGGCCCAGAGTGCTCTCGGTTACTTTGGTCATTCTTGGAAAGTCTTGTATTCATCCCTATCTTCAAATTTGGAGATTTAAACAGTTAAATAGAAAACCTGAATAGATTATAAAGACCAAAGAAATCAAGTTAAATAATGAGGTCCGTGAAGGTTTTCCGGGTTATTTTTCCAGGCAAGTTTTACTGAACATGTAGTGAATTGTACCCTTATCATTCTAAAGTACTCTCATCTCATCTCTGTGCTCCGAAATCCCTTTTCTGGTGTTAAAATTACCTCTTCCTTGCACCTAAAACATGGCATCTGAGTGTAGCATATATTGAGTTTTGCTTTTTGAACTCCTCTAGGTGGGTCTGCTCGGTATGTATTTGCTGACCGACAGCCAGTTTCGGTCTTACTTAAGCCACTGTCCTCTTATCCTAAGCTCAGTGTTAGTTCTCTGCGTCACTGCGTGGCCTGTCCTCACAGTCCTCGCAGTCCTCACAGTCCTCGGGATTTTGCTACAGCACTTTCTTTCAGAATAGCTACACGTTGCTCACTCTGAGTCCTTTTCTGTTAAAAGAAAACAAAAACAAAAGCCCTTTAATTTTGCCTTCAAATTCGGTAGGTAAGCTCGGTATAGAATTTTCAGGTCAAAATAGATTTGTGTGTGCATCTCATAACCGAGACTGTAGGACATGTTTCAGGTCATCCCTTCTCACCAGTGATTTGGTGTCAAACACATGCACTGGTCACGTGGGCCATGCTAGCATTCTGTTTGCCCAGCGTCCCACTAGGTGAGTTACAGCATGGGGTCCTTATACACACATTTTGTCCCATTCAGTGGTAGCTCTTGTGGCTTATTTCAGAAGCTAAGTATATTGAGGTTTCTAGTGGAGAAGAGATTTCTGTCTCTCTATGATTTATCCTGATGTAGAAGAGAACCTCTTTAAGAATTCAGATGATTGCCCTGGCCGGTGTGGCTCAGTTGGCTGAGCGCTGTCCTGTACACTGAAAGGAAGTGGGTTCAATCCCTAGTTGAAGCGAGTACAGGAGGCAATTGATCGTTTCTCTCTCTAAAATCAATAAAAAGTATATCCTCCTGGTGAGGGGCAGGGAGAAATTCAGATGATGACAAGGCAAGTGATTCTTTCCAGACTTTAGGTAAGACTATGTGGGCACTAGGCAGTCACTTCTGGTGATTCTGTTACACTAGCTCAACTGTAAGTGGTCCCTTCCCACATTTCAGCAGGATGGTGATGGACCGAGTTGAGTAAAAGGTTATTTTTCTCAACCAGGTAAGGGTTCGGGTGGCAGACAAGCATAACTGATTTGCCTCTTGCCTTAAGAATATCATACCATGTACAGAATACCATGTACAGAATGTCCGTGCTGAGAGTTAACCTTTCCCTCAGGGCAGCCAGTGCCCGTGGGGAGGCGCAGTCAGAGCTCCGCTTCCCTCTGGGGCCGAGCACCCAGGGCAGGTGTCCCCCTGCTGAGCAGACAGAGTAAGTGACAGGGCAGCTCTGGACTGGTCCTGAGTCTGTCTTGTCCTGTGAGCTCTTAAATCCTTCCAGCAAGCAGCTGTGGGCTCCTCACCGTCCATGTCTGTGGCGGCTGGGCCTCGTCTGTACGACAGCGGACCGAGGAGAGAATGTTTTACAGCCTGTTTACGCGTCTGCAGCCACCGGGGTTTCTATGCCTTTGTCTTCATAGGACTGTTGTGCCTGGACCCCAGCACAATCAGCAGGGGTTTGTCAGTTCAGGCTCTAACTCTTACCTCCGCTCACCTTGGGCCTTCCAGGGTGAGGATCCATGACCTCCGCACCAGCAAGACCGCCCTGTCGTTCTCTGCACACCAGCTTGGCGTCTCCGCAGTGCAGATGGACGACTGGAAAGTGGTCAGCGGAGGCGAGGAGGGCCTGGTCTCCGTGTGGGACTATCGGACGAACCAGAAGCTGTGGGAGGTGCATTCCAGGTAAGGCTGCTTCTCGGCACCTCCAGTGCTAACAGCGTGATGACACTAGTCAACCTCCCAGCCAGGCCTTGTGCTCAGTGCCGTCTCGGGCTTACAGTCCTCACCGTAACCCCGGAGCCAGCTGCTGTCCTCTCCATTCTCAGCCGAGGTTGCTCAGGCTGAGGAGTGGAGCCGGTCACAGTCAGTACAGAGGCATTTCCTCTCTCCCATTGTGAAAACTGCCCTAATCCATTGCCACCTCCCTCCACTCAGAGTCGGGACATGATGTCCTGCCCATTCCTTGGACTTCCTTCCATTGTGGAAGGGCACTTAGGACTGGATGGATTCAGGCTTGGACTAGGTGCAGTCTCAGCCTTTAACTCGAATATTCAAGTTAAACAGGTACCACCCAAGCACAGGCCTATGGCTTCCCAGGTGTAGGTATGTTTACATGAGTGGAGCCTAACTGGTTCAACACTCAACAGCAAGTATGTCAAACTCACGGCCGACGGGCCACATGCCTCGTTTATTTGGCCCGTGTTAGCCTTTGAGTTTGACGTGCTTGCTTACAGCTTGCTCCTGACCTTTGGAGCAGGGTCAGCTCACCCCATCCTCTCTGCTTCTGAGGCAGGTGGAAGGAAAGGCCTGCGATTGTGAGCTGAGCTGTTCCCCTCCAATACAGATCATGATAAAGGAGGCCCACAAGAAGGCAGCATAGTCTTTATTCTGATCATGAGAAGGGCCAGGTTAGAAGAAGGTGGTTTCTTCCTTGGAGGGCAGTGCTAGCGAGGGCCCCAGCAGCAGCTTTTACAGACGAGAGCTCTGGGTGACCTGCAGCGGACTGGGCAAGCCCTCCCATAGGCCTTTTCTGACTTCTGCGGTGATGCACTGAGCTGCCACCAGGTGGTGCCAAAAGGCAGCTAACACTCCCACCCACTGGAATCCCTTTTAAAAGTTTAGAGCTGGCTCCACCTGGCCCCAGCACTGCCTCACCAGGTCTGTACTCCAGGTCTCATTCTCTCTCCAAGAAGCTGCATGCCCTCGGGTGAGCGTGCTGGTGAAGCCGGCTAAGTAAGGTCTTTCCAGCACTGTTGTCCTGACTCGTCTGTAAATGTACATCCAGTTCTGCCACCGGTTAGTGGCTTGTCTCATCAGGTCACTGCAGGCAGGCACCTGCCACTCCTCTGAGCTCTGTCCAGCTGGCACTTGGTCAGGTGCCTGTCTCCTTGAGTCCTGCTCACACCCGTCCTTTCCATTCCTCCTGCCTCACTGGGCTCAGACTCCTGTATTCTCGAGAGAATCCTCTGCTCTAACCAGGAAGCCTTTGACAAACCCCCCCCCCCCCCCCCGTATGTCTTACCCTGACCAGGCGGGCAGCTCTGGTGCCAGGTCTCTGCACTGGACATCTTTCATCCTGGTCTCCTGGCTCAGTGCTGTGACCATAGTAGCAAGGAAAGGGTTTTAGAACAAAACTTTTACATAGATTTCAAGCCATTTTACTCCAAGATTTTCTGAATGTGCGTTACCACCCAGACTCCCTGTGTTACATGGAGCCCTGGCTTTAGGACCAGGGGCCTTCCATGGTTCCCGTGCCTGCAGGTGGGCGTGGCTCCGAGAGCTGAGTGACTTGTCCAGCACCAGCCAGCATGCTGCTGAGTTTACCCTTTGTGTCCCATTGTTGGGGCATTCAGACTTGTGTACAGAGTAGGCCTGGCTCTAACTTTGGGAACGAAGGCGAGACAGCGCCCAGGGTGGTGTCCACTGTAAAAGGGTCCCTGTAGTTCTCAACTTCCAAGACTGGCAGCAGATGCAGGCCGTGCTGTTTCCGATGACTTACCTTTACCAGAGCGCTCTCCCCTGTGTTGCAGGCACCCCGTCCGCCACCTCTCCTTCACCAGCCACAGCCTCATCACGGCCAACGTGCCCTGCGAGCGGGTGATGCGCAGTGCCGACCTGGACGGCTTCGCCACGCACAGGAGGTCAGTGGGCGCGGCTGCGGGGTGTGCAGAAAAGACAGTCATGTTCGAGCTCAGACTAGAGCCCCCATGCCACACTGCTCCCTCCGGGGTGTTCCCTCAGCACCGGCAACTCCAGGCGCCATAGGGGGAGAGATTAGCAATAATGTGCTAGTGCCCGCTTTAAGTGTTTTCCCCATAGTCTCTCACCGCTGCAGCAGGAGGGCTGCGTGGGTGGGGACAGGCGGAGACACAGGGGTTAGGGGCCAGCAGTGGGTAGAGTTAAGTCCTCCTGCGGGGCCAGCTGGGTGACTCAGCTGCCACACAAGGGAGACCCCCTCCCTCCTCACCACATGCACGAGGCTCCGTGCTTCTTATCAGCCTGGCTTCTGAGCAGCCTGAGGCCAGGGCCTCGCCTCCTGGCACTTACCTACCCCTTTACCTCTAGTCCCCGGTCCTCAGTGTCTGGCCCACAGGGCAGATCGGTTAGCCCTCTCTGTGCTCCCTCAGGCACCGGGGGCTGGTCCACGCCTACGAGTTCGCCGCGGACCGGCTGGCCTTGCAGAGCGCGCTCCCCGCCTGCCGCGCGTCCTGCGACTCCACGGCGGGGAGCAGCTACGACCTCGCACTCGCCTTCCCCTCCGACAGTGCTTAGGGGACAGAGAACGGAAAGCCCGACAGAGGCCTCTGCTCCGCTGTCAGAGGTTTGGGGGAAGAAGGCCACCCCGGGCCCTGGTGTGACGCACCTTCCTGAGCTGCCTGCGCTTCCCCCTGTCTGTTTCCCGCCCACTGTGCACAGCTGGGGCTTGTCAGCGTTTCCCCTCACCGGTCCCTCTCCTGGCCTTGGGAACCACACACTGATGACTCAGTGATACCGCCTTCCCCCACATCCTCCTCCTCTTCCTCCAGCTCAGCCAGCCCGGGCGGGTGACACCCCCGGCGGGCTCCCGTCTCTCCCGGCCGCTGCAGCTCCGGTGAGGCCTGGGCTTCTCACTGTGAACACGGCTCTCCTGGGCCCTGCTCCCTCTGCCAGCTCCAGCCCTCCCTCCCATCCCCCCGGGGCTGTGCCTCGATGAGACCGGGGTTCACTCAGGTGGGCTTCTCCCACAGCATCTCACCGGTGCAAACCGGGGTCACAGTATTTTTCCACAGAGCTTTTATAATTATATATTTATACCATTACTTCATTAACGACTATTTTGCTTATTATTGCATCTACAACATGTGATACAAAGCAGATATTTTTTATATAGTCACTAAACAAACAGCCACCCTCAGTTGGGTCGGACGGGGGTTCTACGCGGGAGGAACCGCCGTGTCAGAGCACTAAGCTAACGCGAAGGAGGAAGAACTGTTCCGTTTGACAAACAGCTTCCACTCCCAAGGACGGTGACAAACAGCTTCCACTCCCAAGGACGGTGGCAAGCCAGCGCCTTCCTCTTGGTCACAGCGCCGGCGGCAGCCGCCTGCCGTCCTTCAGAGTGTCACAGCGACACCGACACCGCGGCAGAGCGGCAGGCCACGCTCAGTACGTCAGCATCAGATCACAGCGGCAAAGACACTTAAGCACAGGGCGTGCTTCGCTAATGCACAATAGATACATACGCCCTTCTGTACCCTCCCAAACGGCCACAGACCACCCCAGACAGTGACGGCCACAAGAAAGGCCCCCGCTGCACAGAGCTGATGCCAGCCCGGCCTTCCTCAGTGACCCTGGATCCTGATGCAACCCAACTGGAAACCAACAAAAAGCTAAATAAAAACATCTGCAGATTCCAACACTCCGACTTGACTTGGTTTTGACGAAGGAAATTCCAAAGGACCTGAGCGACCCTGAGAGCACCATCCCCAGCCGGGGAGCCCAGACCGGCCGGGGAGTCTCCCCTCCGCACACCCAGACCGGCCGGGGAGCCTCCCCTCCGCACGCCCAGACCGGCCGGGGAGCCTCCCTCCGCACGCCCAGACCGGCCGGGGAGACCAGCAGGGAGCCTCCCCTCTGCAGTCCCAGACCAGCGGGGCTGCCCGTGCAGCTCGCACCCTAGCGTGTCCCGCGGCCCCGCCCTGCGGGCCATCCCTGAGTCCCAGCACCTTGATGGTGAAGGTTCTGGTTGCTTAGATCGTCCTTAAAACCCCACGTCCACGGAGGCCGGAGGAGCCGGACTAGGAATGTCCTCCACCTGCCTGTCCTGCAGGAGGCGGCTCTGTCCCACGGCTCTGCCTCCTCCAGCCCCCGACCTCAGAGGGAGCCGCTGCGGCCGGCAAAGGGGGGATCCCCTCTCCCGGCACATGGGGTTCTGACCCCTCGCCTCTGTACGGTGTTCATCGCTGTCTTATGGGTAACAGCTTTCCTTTTAAGAAACAGTTCTGCCCAGTCTGACCTCCCCGTTCATTCTTCCAAACTAGCTTTGCAGCAATTTTACATAATTGAACAGTTTAAAGAAATCAGACCCAGACAATTATACCAAAATTAAAAATAGTTTTAAACTGCTATTCACTGCAACAGCTGGTCCGGTGTAAATGTTACAGCTTGTATATAACTTCCCTCCCGGTCCTGAAAGCGTCTGGCTTTTGCAAAGAAGCATTTGTCACCCAAACCGTCACCTCTCAGCACGCCCACCTGGCTTCTGCGCTGTCACTTTCTATCCCAGAGACCCGGGCTGGGTGGGGACCGGGTCAGAGTCCCTTAATAAACTGCCATTGGCCAAGCAGCAGAGAAAGGCTTGGCCATGTCCACCCCTCAGCTCACCCCGGGGCTGTCCCTCCCCGGGGCTGTTGTCAGGGAGCTGCTCCCACGTTCTGAGCTGGTGGTGGGTCTGACCTCTGCTCCCCACGCTCTCCCCTGCCGAAGAGGGGACTTGTGTATGCTGCAGGGACCAAGGGCCAGGCTGTGTCCCGTCTCAAAACGTTGTATGACTTTGCTTTCTGTTTCATTACTATGTCTGTGTTGGTTCTAATAATAAATTTTGAAAATGTTTTTATTGCTCAATTGATTTGCCTCCCCTGGCCACCAATCTCCCCCAGCCCCGACCTCTCACCTTGCTCGGCGACCTGGTTCTGCCGTCCACGATCTAGCTCGATCGATCGATCGATCGAGTCGTCGTCTCAGAACCCCCACTTCAGGGTGCTGAGCCCAGGAGCCAGGGAACCCACAAACTACCTGTGCGACTGTGCACCAGGCGCATCCCGAGAACTGCGTCTCTGCCACTAGAGGGTGCTGCCGGTGCCCAGACAGTTCATGGTTAGAAGACACCCCCACCCCCGCCTTCCCCTCCCCCTGGCACCACCCTCCCAGGGCAAGGGGATACCCCTGGCGCACTGGGTCTGGCTGGTAGGAGGAAACATCTCCCTACACGGGCGTTGGGGGAAAGCTGACACCCCAAGATGAAGTCTCCTCCCCACACAGCCCTAAGAGGCTTCCTGCCCCGCAGTTAAATGGCAGACCCTGGCCCCTGCAGCTCTGTCTCATCCCAGAGCCGGTGGCCTGCCAGCGCAGCCCGGCCTGCCAGCGGCTCAGGCGGGAGCTGCCGCTGCCTCCTCCTCCTCCTCCTCCCTGACTTGGGGCTTTGGCTTCGGGCAGCAGCTGCAGCGGCCTGAGCTCACAGAGCTGGCTGCCCGGCCACCACGCTGAGCCTCCCAGACCTGCCCCCTCACCCCTCGGCCAGGCCAGATGGTCACCTGGCGGCGGCGCAGGGCCTGCGGCGACTTGGACGGGCCCCCGCTGCGGTGGTGGCAGACCCTCCGGCTGCGCGGCCGCGGTGCCATGTGGCGCCGGCTCCCGTCCGCCTCGGTGTGGAGCGAGGGCTTCCAGCAGCGGCTTCCGATGGCTTGGCCCGGGGCTTCTCTTTCCCTGGAAGGAAGGGCAACGGTCCCCACCCGGAGCTGAGCCTGTCCTGCCGCAGCTCCTCCTCCCGCAGCTGGGACAGACACTGCTCCGAGGTGAGGGGGCCGCAAACTGCTTCCCAGCACGTCCCGAGGCCTTACTGCTGCCCCTGAGCCACGCGGGTGCAGACCAGACCTAGTCTCTGTACACGAGGTCACCAGCGGGCCAGAGGCCCGGCAGCCACGGGTGCCGCCATCACTGTCCCTCGGGGCCAAGCTCATGCACCATCAAGGTCCCCTGCTGGCGTGCTCACAGTTCCTGGAGACAAAGGCGCCCTGATGCTCTAGGAAGTGTGTTTAACACCCCAGCCCCTCCCACTCCGTTCCCAAGGCCTCCCCAAGGTCACTGGGACGACAGCTTGCAAAGCAGGTGTTTGCAGAGCCCTTGCCAAGGCGCCTTGTATTTTTAACTCTGCAGCAGCCCGTGCGAACCACCGTGCACCGTGCGGAGGAGGGACAGGCTCCGCCCTCAGGGACGGGGCCGGGCCATACGGACCCACTCCATTAGCGAAGCGCAGAGAGCGTTCCCGTCCCCTGGCCCAGAGGATAATGGAACTGCTTTGTTAAAGTCCAGCAATAACTCGTTCCCTGAGAGAGGGCGCGGCCAAACTTGGAAGCTGCTGCAACCTTACTCCTCATCCATAATTCATGTCGAACGTGGCTGCAGAGTCTCCCCAGGCCTCTCCTATCAGATTTCCATTGCACAGCCCTTCTGTAACCCTACCAAATGGCCGCCTTCGTCCAAAAGCCGAGTTCTGGTAACTTCCCCCTGGGCGGTGTGGCAGTGAGGATGAGATCCGCTTTCCACCTGAGCCCTGGGCAAGTGACCTCACCCCCCACCTGGCACCGGCCCTGCCCCGGCTTCTCCCTCGGGAGCCGAGGCCCTCAAAGCCCTGACTTGGCAGCTTCCTTCAAATATCGGGCTTCGCATTGATTTCTGCCTGCTTCCCCTTAGTCGCTCAGTTCCTGATGGAAGGAGCGCTAACCAGTGTGTCTATTTGACCTGCCTGTGCTAGAAGACATTCAGAGCAAACATCCCTGCTTCATGAGGCGGACCAGCCGGGGGGCTGCTGCCCTCGCCCAGGTCTGCAGCCTGCTGGCCCCTCCTGGCACACCCGCTCGTCCCGCAGGTAAGAGGAGCCGCCTCAGGCCACTGCGCCTGGCCCCTGTCCGCTCCACACTGCCAGATGGCACCTCAGACCTGTGCCCAGAGCAGCAACCCTCACCTTGTTCACCAAAGGCCAGCAGCCCCACTAGACCGTGGGGAGGTAGCCTGCCCTTCTGGCAGGTTTGTACCGACTACGCCAGCCCTGGTCACTCCCCATACGACAGAGGGAGCGAAGGCCCGGGCTCGGAACAAATCCGCTTCCTCTGAGCAGCACGGCCCGGGCTCCTGGTGAGGAGGCCTCGCTGTAATGAGCCATTGAAGGTGAGCGGTGGCCCAAAGCTTCAGACAGCCAGCCTGGCCCCTGTGTGGTCTGGAGTGAAAGCGTTTGAAGCCTGCCCAAATCCAAACTCCCAACTCCGGGAGGGCATGGGGCGGCGGAGGATGCATTATTGATAAAAGCGCTTCCCACTAACGAGCTGCCTTTGTGGAGAAGAACAAAACGGAAGCAAACTGGGAGCGCCCAGCAAACGCAGGCCTGCCGCGGCCTTGCCAAGGTCCTGCCACTCCGACTCCCCGGTTCCTCTCTCTGGCACGAGGAGGGGTGCCTTGGAGGCACTTCCTGGGCCAGATCCCCCCACATCAGGCCGTCCAGTGACCCCAGAACCCTGCTGTCAGCCAGGAAACCCAAGGGCGTGAACAAGATCCCAGCAGCGAGGGAAGCAGGAGTTGACCCCATCCCAGCCCGGGAGACAGCCTGGTCCTCGCTGGCCTTTCCCACCAGACGTGGCCCCTGGAGGGCAGGACGCAGAGGCCTTCGCCTGGCCTACACCCGGATGCCTCGACGGTTGAGTTACGTGCCGGTCTAGGATGCAGAGCCCCGGGCGGGACCTCAGCCTGTCCCCGGCCTTACCCTGAGGTTGGGCTGTAGCCTGACCGTCCGCCTGAGCCAGGGTGTGGGGGCCGCAGTCCGTACGCGCGAGGCCGCGGTGGCAGGCCCCAGGCCAGCGTCCTCGGGCACAGCTGGGCTCCGAGGCCCGGCCCCCTCCCTCCTGCCGAGCGCTTTCTGACAACAGGACGCCGGCAGGAGCCTCACACCACGTCTCCACCCTCGGACCCCTGCGGCCCACACTGCCCGCTTCCCTCCAACTCACCTTGCTGCCCTGCTCTGGTTTGTAAATATAAACGGCGACGTCAGCTTCGTCCTAGACCACGCCTTTGCCTGTGTGTGCCCGCGGGGTTGAGGTGAGGCCCTGGGAAGGGAAAGTTGGGGCCAGACAAGAACAGGTTAGAGACCCACATGCGCCCCAGCCTGAACCCCAGCGCGTGGGTGTGACAGAAGCACTGGAACACACTCACATCAGAACTATGAACTGAAAATTCGAGGACGCAGCCCAGCGGCGGAGGCTCCGTGGCTGAGCGTTGACCTATGACCCAGGAGGTCACCGTTGGATTCCAGGTCAGGGCGTATTCCTGGGTCGCCGGCTGGATCACCGATCACTGGATCCTCCCTCATCACTGATGCGTCTCTCTCTCCTCCTCCCTCCCTCTCTGAAATCAGCACAGATATAGTTTTAAATTAGAGAACGCGAATCACAGCGGTTGGCAGTTGGCAGGAGAACGTCCTTAGAAGGCTGGAGCAGTGCTGCCCAGCGAGGGTGTCCGTAAAGGGACCGAGCGTCTCCTCAACGCGATGCCAGGAGGGCGCCTGGGATGCAAACGGCGACGGCTCCCACCGCCCAGTGCTGTGCCCGGGGCACCCGTACCACCAGGCGAGGCGCAGGCAACTGTGACCGGGCCTGCCGGCCGCTGGCTCACAGGCCCTGGCCCCACCCTCGGGGGCCGCCTGTGTCTCCTCGAACTCCCCCCTCCCCAGCCCACCCCGGTCAGCGAGGCTGGCGATGCTTACCTGGGCAGTCACCTCCCCCTGCAGGCCAGGTCTACATCGCTGCCTCGGACGCTGGGGACCGAGTGCTGGGCCCGCCGCTGCCCCATCCTGCCAGGAGGGGCCCCGGCGCCGGTGCCCAGCAGCACGAGGCCAGCCCGGGCCCGGCAGCCGCACAGGCTCTGAACGTGCGGCCCCGATGCTGAGGAGTCCCCTGCCAGGCGCCAGGCCTGGGAGCCAGGAGCCGCCTCCCGGCTAAACTCCCACACTTCTGCAGGGAAACGGCAGGCTCGTCACCAAACGAACCCAACGAGGAGAAAAAGTCCCCTCACACCGGCCTTCCACCACGACTCCGCTGCTCCTCGTCTCCGCTGTGCCAGCCAGTGCTGGCCACTCGTGGGCAAGGGACCGACAGGAGGCTGGTCCATTAACAAACCCCAATCCTCTTTATTAGAGATGAAAACAGTGAGTCCCAACACCAGGCCCTGTCCTGGGGCGGGAGGAGCTGCAGCGAAAGCCTGGCCCGCTGCTCAGGCCTCGGGGGGCTGCTCAGGCCTCGGGGGGGCTGCCCGGCCTCAGGGGGCTGCTCAGGCCTCGGGGGGGCTGCCCGGCCTCAGGGGGCTGCTCAGGCCTCGGGGGGGCTGCCCGGCCTCGGGGGGCTGCCCGGCCTCGGGGGGGCTGCCCGGCCTCGGGGGGGCTGCCCGGCCTCGGGGGGGCTGCCCAGCCTCGGGGGGGCTGATCAGGCCTCGGGGGGCTGCCCGGCCTCGGGGGGGCTGCCCGGCCTTGGGGGGGCTGCCCGGCCTCGGGGGGGCTGCCCGGCCTTGGGGGGCTGCTCAGGCCTCGGGGGGCTGCTCAGGCCTCGGGGGGGCTGCCCGGCCTCGGGGGGGCTGCCCGGCCTCGGGGGGGCTGCCCGGCCTCGGGGGGGCTGCTCAGGCCTCGGGGGGCTGCTCAGGCCTCAGGGGGCTGCCTGGCCTCGGGGGGCTGCGCGGTGCAGAGTGCGGTCTCGGGGGGCGCTCAGTGGCAGAGCGCCATGGTCTCCATGTTAAGGAAGCGGATGTGCATCTTGGTCTCGATGTCGATCCCCTGCCAGATCTGAAACGCACGGAGCGGCGTGAGGGCCTCACCCTGACCAGGCAGGTCCTGAACCCCCCTCCTCCCGCCGGCATCAGAGCTGTGCCCCTGGGACAACCAGCTAAGCCCACAGGGCAGTCCGAGCTCGCCCTGTTGGTGAGCGTGGCTCTGGCATTCGTGCACTCTGAGATGTCACCGCAGGGGGCCACTGAGGCCAGAACCCACCCCCCCATCCCTCCCCCGCCTCAGGCTGAGTCACACTGCCGAGACCACCACCTGTCTGTCCCCCACGGCACAGGAGACAGGCGTGGGGTGTGGAGTCATCAGAAGCGTTTTATCAGCTTTAGGGCTCCGCAGCGGTGAGATTTCTGTAAGCCTCCGTCATTCTCATTCGTTAAAGGTGACAACAGTCTGGTCCCATGTTCCACACAGACCAGCTCAAAGGTCATTTCCACTCGGAGACCAGGGCCTGGCCACGTACCTGGTGCTGGAGAGGCCGTCCCAGTGTGGCCTGGCCTGGCTCTGCCAGACCCCCCTCTCCCCCCCCCCCCTCCTACAGAGCCCCACACCGGCTGGGTGCTCGCCAGCTCCTCAGCCACACAGCGCCCAGCCCCCCAAGGGGGCCCCAATCCAGGGCGGGTGGGTGGGCGGGCGGGTGGGATGCTAGCAGCACGGAGGGATGTGGTGGGCGGTGACTTCTCACGGGCTCCCTGCTTATGTAAGAGTGCCAAACTCCCAAGCTGTCACCACGGCGTCTCCAGGGACGGCTGGGGCTGGGAACGGGAAGCCAGAGCCACAGGAAGGCCTTGGCGCATTTCTGGCCGCCGTCCATGCCCGTGCCCACGTGCTCCCGCCTGCAGCTGGCCTGGTGCGGGTGAGGCCACAGGAAGCACCGGGCTCCACCGGAGGCTCGGGCCCTCGCTGGGCGAACAGGGCTCCCGGGAGAGACGCCTGGGCGCCAGGACAGGTTCTGCTAAAGGCAGGTGGCACCGGGGCCACCACGGAAGCTGTGGAGCCCAGGACGGGGAGGCCCACCCGGCTGGAGCCCGGCGGTGGCCAGCCTTCGGGGGAGCAGCTGGCTTCTCGGGCGAAAAGGGAAGGTTTCCTGCCTTCGCCCTGCCCAGCCCTGGTGCGTCTGGGCTCCTCGCAGCCTCTGTGTGGGCCAGGCGTGTGCTGGGCCAGGTCCGGACTGCAGACGGGAGCAGGGCCCGGCCCCACTCCATGCACAGTCTCCCCAACTTCCTCTCTTCCTCGACCCCCCAAAAGGCCTTGGGAACCCCGATGTTGGGGTGCTCAGGGCCCGAAGAACCAGAGGGCGGGGGCCTCATCTCCCTGCAACGGGGTATCTCCTGTCAGAGCAACGAGGGGTCCCAGCTCCCGGCCTGGGAGTCTGTGTGGCAGGAAGGCTGAGCAAGGCCTTAGTGTCCACCAGGGGGAGCGCGAGAGCCCGCCAGGGAGGCCGGAGGCACAGCCGGAAAGCCGGGCAGGGCCTCGCTCCGGGTGGGTCCCCGTCTGGACACAGACCTGAGCCCGGCCCCCGCTGTGCAGGGGCACCACCTCTGAGAAGCAGCGAGGGACTCGCCTGGGGAGACGGCGGGCGCTGTGCACCCTCTGTACCCTCCAAATGCTCTGACCACGCGTGGGTTTACTTTTCGATAAAAAGTAAAACCAGTTTCAGGTGTTTTAAAGGCCACGCCCAGGCCCGACCTTTTCCACAGAGACGCCCGTCTCCTCCTGACCAGCCAGCTCCCTACGAGCCCCACCACGGCCACGGCCACGGCCACAGCCACGGCCACAGCCACGGCTCCCCGGACGGACACGCACCTTCAGGAAGTCGTCGAAGGTGATGCCCTCGTACACCTGGTCAGGCTCCTGCGGACAGCACAGGCGGGTGAGGGGCTGCCCCGGAGGCTCAGGAGGCTCTGCCCAGTCCCTACCCCCCAGCACACACACACACACACACACACACACACACACACACACGCACACGCACACGCACGCGCATGCATGCATGTTGGGTCAAGTACTAGAGGGTCATTCTGCATCATTTGTCTCCAGCTCAAGGCCAGTCACCCTGAATTCAGCGGCCCCGTCCCCGGCTGGAGGGCGGGAGGGTAGGGGTTGGGGAGCCTGTGGACGAGGGTGGGTAAGAAGGCGGGCGGGCGCCAGGCACTGCTCTCCCTCCCCGCCCGGCCCCTCGGCCAGGTCCCGGCAGGATGCCAACGGGCACACACTTCCTGGTCCCGCCCCGCACCCAGCGCCGATAAGAACCGGTTCCAGGCTGACCCGCGCTCCGGCCGCTGGGGAAAGGAGCAGGGGCCGGCCGGAGGGCTGGCCTGTGTGCCCAGTGAGTCACCGTGAGAGCGTCTGGCGGTGCTGGCCTCCCGCCAGGACCCGCTGTGGGCACAGGGACCCGTGGACGGCAGCTGGGCCCTGTCCCTCCTGCTGCCGC